ACATTTTCTTTGCATAAAACTCTCTCTTATACGTGAGTTGCTGTGGATTTGTTTCTCTAAAGTACCTAGACTAATACAAGCGGCTAGCGGACCAGACTTTCCAACAGAATGTGGCAGGTAGTTCCCAGCCCTGTGGCTCTGCGCCCCTTGGCAGGAAGCTGACACATTGCAGTTAGTGTTCAGTAGTTCCAGGTTGCTAAAGAGGCCATGGTGTCAGTGTGATACTTGTATGCCTTCCGCAGTAATCAATCTAGATCACTTATTGGCCTGGCCGATCTACTATCCCCCACCTTGTTGAGCCGGACTTCATTACATCTAGCCAGTGGTTGTTGGTAAGGCTACAAAACTTATCATGGAACGTGACAATGTGAGATTTTCTTCATTCTCTTCTTTTGGTCTCTTGCTACCTCTGTCATATCTCTTTTCTTTTATTTGGCATATCCCATGCTGTCAGGAGGCGGATCTGTCTTTTAATGATGATGATGTGGTTTAGGGAAGAGGTTAAGACATGGTTCTCAGAGTCCAGTGAGAGGTCATTGCAACCACATAGCAATGGGATAAATTTCAAAAGAAAGGCCTATCCATAACTTTGGGGATATGGCATAACCACTATGAGGTCTTAGCAGATTTCAAGATCCAACAGGATTTGTGTTGAACGTTGAAGTCAGTGAACCTTGACTCAATTCCAAAAAGACTGAGGGAAAGGTAATCCTGAAAACAAGAGCAGCATGTGAAAAACGGCTAAGAATTGTATGCAGAGCAGTGGCCCGGCCCGTCATCGTATGTTTCACGAAAAGGAATTTGAAGGAGGAATTAAAAAAAAAAAAAATTCAAGCAAAAAAGGAATTCAACCGAGACAGAAGAGGAGGACATGGGGTCCGGCATCCACTGGATTTGATAACCACTTAGATTCAGGGCATGAGAGTGAACAGAGTTTTTAAATGAATTGCTTTTGAGTTTGTTTCTGATTGGGATGACTCAGTGGGTGGTAGTGCCTTTGGCCACTATCAATAATACAGGTAGAAACAGAGTTAGAAAAAAAGGTGCCGACAAAGGTCATCACAAAGAGAATATGGGGAGGGGGTGGAGACACACAATTAGTGTCTGAGATGCCTATGAAGCACGTACATAGAGATTGATACAGCTAGTAGTCACAAACACATTTGTTGTCGTGTGCCAGCGAGCCCCTCCAACTCATAGTGACTTGACAGAACAGTGTAGAACTGCCTCACCGGGCTTCCTCCTAGACTGAAAACGTATGCGGGCAGATTACCACGTCTTTTCCCTGGTGCAGCAGTTGGGAGATTCAAACCACGGGACAAAATCCCTGCATCAAAACCCTGGGCGTCATCTGGGTTTCAACACATCTCAACTGTTAGGCAGTTGACTGGGTCTATGTGCCATGTGTTACATTCACGTTTGAGCGAAAACTGAGGCATCAGCTACAACCACACTCCTTAGCCTTTTTGCTGCAGTATTGCCAGCCCATTAAGTAAGCTAAGCAGACGATGTTTGACTGAGCACATTGTGCTCGTGGATCCTTCCGGCCGTGGCACGTAGCAGGGCTCCGAGTCTCTTTCTGGGTGTAGGAGCCATTGGGTCGGGTCTGACCTACAGTGACCTTATGCACAACAGAACATCACACCGCCCAGTTCTGCGACATCCTCACAATTGTTCCTAGGCTTGAGCCTGTTCCTATCTATAGTAGAGTAACATTTGATTTTATGTTTAAAAAAAGGACAATCATATGGAAATTATATAATCCAAAACTGAAGGAGGGAATAGTATGGGAGCTTAAATTGTGAGATTCTGGTTTGCAGAAGGCGCTGGATGACACTGAGAGTCCAAGATGAGTTTGCGAGATCTACACAGGAAGTAACCCTCCGGTGACTTCCCTCTACCCATAACTGAGGGATAAACAGAAAGTATTACAGAGAGAGCTATAAAAGATTAAAATGATAAAGCTGACTTGAATGGTTAAATCCTTGACACCAGATTCCCCCCTCTGAAACATTTTGGGTCTGATCTGGTTTTCAATACTTTTTTTTTTCATATGAGGGTTTATATTTTGTCATTGTTTTTTATTTTTGTTATGTTTTTTCTGGGTTTTTTTCTTTCAGTATTTGAAACCCAGAACTGATGAATCTACAGAGACAAAAAGTAGAATTAGGGTTCCTGGGGAGGGGGGTACGGTGGCAGGGTGGGGATAAAGGGGAGCTGATATTAAAGGGTTCGAGAAGGAAGAAATGTGTTGAAACTAATTGGGGTAGCAATTGTACAATACTGCTTGATGTGATTGAACTATGGAATGGTATGATGTTGGTAAGAGTTCCCAATACAGTGGTTTTGGGGAAAAATTATTTACTGAGCAAAAATATTAAAGATGAAAGAAAAATGAAGGCCTTCATAGATAAACAATGATACTAAGCTCTGATTACTCATTCAAACCCATGTTGGCAAGTAGGCAATATGTTGGCATATATAAAGTCCTGAGATTGTACAACTTTTCCTGATGTGATTGAACTATTGAATTATATGTTATATGAGTTCTGTGGCTTTAAAACTGTTGGAGAAAATGTTTTAAAATTCAATCCTGAAAGAAAAATAAATAAATAAAATACGTCAATCATAAAAATGACAAGTATATAATTGTCCTAATACTAGGTGCTAAAAATAAACACATGTCTTCAGTTCTGAGGAGGAAAATATTTTCAGTCTATATGTTATATCCAATTAAACCTCTAATTGACTAGATTAATTAAATGAATATGGATTAATTAGGATATAAGGTTTATGTTTCACCCACCCTTTCTTGGGAAATTGCCTGAAATTTTGCTAAGTGGTATGCCAGGTGCATGGGCTGGTATCGGATTTATGGACTAATCTCTGACTTATGGACTTGATGTAGGTTGGGATGCTTTCTTAATATACAATTATCCATTATATAAGGCCTTTCCTTATATACAAAATAAATAAATACACAAAACGCATTAAGAGGTGGTTTCAAAAAACTCATGAAAAATGGAATTGGAAGTTAATAGAATGTTTCCATGAAGCCGCTTCATTTATGCAGATTAAAGCTTAGTGTAATTACCAGGAGCAGGAGGTAGGAGGAACGAGGGGAATTGTTTAAGAAATATTAAGTTTGGGTTTATGGAGAGGGAGCATTTTCTAAGGATAGTGGTGATGGTGGCACAAGATGAAGACTATGATTGAGCCCACTGAGTTAAATACATGTGAATGTTTGAATTGGCCAACGTTGTGTTACCTACACTTTTAAAACAACAATATTATTATTAGTATTTCGAAGTATAAACAAGATTACAATTAGTTTTGCATCAAGTCAGTCTGGTTTGGGTTCCAAACTGAAGAAAAATTTCAGTCCCCAAAACGTTAATGTGGATGAAATTTGGATAGGGGACCAGGGGCCTGTATAAACAGGTGTATTGCCCACTAATGGGCTGACTCTATCAGTATAAAGCATGGGCATCTCCGTGACTCACAGGTACCACTTAAAAGCTAATTGATGCCTTTTGATATTCATTTCCTCTGTTGAGTGTGGTCCACAGTGAAAGTACAAGATCAGGTGAAGTCTTGAAGAAGCCACAAAAGGGCCGCACAAATGGACGCTGCATTATCCAGCTGCCAGAAGCTTCAAATGCCATTCCATCCTGGCCCCTTTCTCATTTTACAGGGAAAATAATATTTCCTCACCCCACTCTCTGATTCTTCATGCAGAGATAGTCAGGGAAGTGCTTTCCTTCCTGCTAAAAACGTTTCTTAATGCCTGACTACCCCAATTTTCCTGTAGGGCAGAGTAGACAAGGGCCACTCCTGACAGATAGCTTCTCACCATTGTCTTTGAGTCTAAACCAACAGCTTACCCAGCCGGCAAAAGGTAGGAGCAATTTTTTTTTTTTTGGCAGCTGAGTACTTCATCATAGCATTAGTAGCTCAACAGCCTTTTCTTTGAACTTTGACCTTTGCAGCTTCACTCCCCAGCGAGTTAAGGACCCTGATCCAGGAGGCAAAGGAAATGAAGTGGCCCTTCGTGCCTGAAAAGTGGCAGTACAAACAAGCCGTGGGCCCAGAGGACAAAGCAAACCTGCAGGACCTGATTGGCGGCTGGCTGCAGCAGTTACTGGTAGGAAGAGCCACCCCACCCGTCACTCCCTCGACCCCCCCAAGCGAGGCATTTAGACCCTAAGTGGTCTCATAGATTAGATTTCTTTCAAGAACAAGATAGCCCCTTTCCCTTATGGTCAGCTCTGCCAGATTGACTAATGTGGGGGAGATAGCTATTAGATAGGCATTGCCTGCTCCAACACCAAGCCCTTCTGTCGAACAAGCGAACCCAATGAAAGTGAAGCAGCGTGGCCCGGGGGCTCATGGAAACCCGTCATCTGGAAAGACCCGGGCATTCTCTCTCGGTGGGCCAGAACCAAAGGGGTACACCTTGTTTTATTATGCTTGGCTTCCCTGCAACTCGCAGATACCGATTTCTCTTACAAACGGAAGGTTGGTGGCAATCCTGCGGCAAGCAAATCTGCCGGGGTGTTTTTGAATCATCAGATCTCCCTCCGTGACTCGGCGTCACATTTTGGCAATTCCCAATCATATGTAAAACTTTCTCAGAAGGCCATGACACACCTCCCAGATGACAGGATCACAAAAGCCTAATGCGTATTTGCACTGGGTCCAAACAAAACACAACGACGTGACTCGCTTTCTGGATTTGGGTGGTCTGGAACCAAACTGCATTTTCTCTGTTGGTCTGCTAACCACAAGGTCATGGGAAAGAGATGAGGTGTTCCACTCTTGTAAAGATGGGCACCCTTGGAAGCCCACAGGGCAGTTCTACCCTGCCCTCCAGGGTCCCGCTGAGGCCACAGCGACTCGATGGCAGTGAGTTCTTGGTTTGCTGCCCATCGTTCTGAGTTCACTATACCTCAGAGAGGTTTCATTCTGAAAAGTTGTTTTCTAGAAAGTTAGGCAACTTAAATATAAAAAGTCACTGCTGTTCTGTCAATATGATTTAACTCTTTAAGTGAGTGAAGGGACAGCAAGAGTGTCCTATCCAGAGTCTGACTGAGGTCCTATGCCTTCCTTTGATCTCCTAAGTCAAAGCCGAGTTGATTCCTGAACTCAGTCAATGAAAGCACAAGGACACAGGTGGGAGCTTCAAAAGCCAGGCTCGGGCTCTGGGGATGCTATGAGATATGCTACTTCCCTTTTTGGTAACATGATTTTTCACACACCTTCTCTCAGAGGACTGTCAAGGAAGAAGGTCTACTAGCTTTTTCTGTTTTTTTACCCCTCACAGGAAAATACATTTGTCTGGAGGCCAGACATTAGAATCAATGACTCCAAAGCCAAGCTCACTGCCATCTAATCAATGCCAACTTATATGACCCTATAGGATAGGGGAGAACGGTCTCTGTGAGCATCCTCTTTGTGGGAGTAGAAAGCCCTGTCTTTCTCCCGAGGAGTGGCTCATGGTTTCAAACTGTTGACCTTGTGGATCACAGCCCAGTGCATCTGTTTACATGGTCAACCCAGAATTAATGTAGAAACACCTTCTTTGCTGACTGGAGCAATCGTGAGAGAAAGAACCCTGGTTCTATGCACCCTTTGCAACATCTTTAGAGATTTAGTAGAAACCATAAGCCCCTACTTCCCCAAACTACAAAACAGATGTAAGCAGACAGGATGGTGGGGGAAGGAAAGGGAATACTGGAAAGAATGTGATGGTAAAGCTGGGCTTTCAATAAGCATGCTTAGCAGTAGTGGAGAAGTGAAATACGAAAATAGCTATAACTTGTACATCACTGGCATTTCCAAAGTACTTTCACACCTATCAGCTCATGACGGTCTCCCAAGAACCCCACAGTGGTTAGTAGCATTATCACCCCTATTTTACATTTGAGGAAATTAAGGTGCAGGGAGATTAGTCTGCCCAGGGAACAGGCCAGTACCCAGTGGAGCTGTGACTCACAGCTCCCTCCTCTGACCGCAGTGTCCCTCAGCAATCCCAAAGGAAGAACCTGGAAGCACAGAGAGAAGCCCTCGGCTGTGTTTAAAGCGGGCTAGTGACTCTGCCCAGTAGAAACTGTATTGAGGATGGGAAAGGGCTGCACAAGGTGGTAGCCACATATGGTTATTGAGCACCTGACACGTGTGTGTGTGACGGAGGCACCGAATTCTCCATGTTATTGCATTGTCGCTAGTTAATAATTAAATGTAGGTAGAGGCTACGTATGATTGGACAAACGCAACTGTATGGCAGTGGTTCTCCAGGCGAGGTCCCAACACCACCGCGGCGCCCTCTGCATTGGAGAACCCCTGTGGGTTAGTTACTCTGGTTGATGCTCCTGTCTGAGCAGCCCTGCTCAAAGACAACACAGGGAAGTGGAGGAGAAGGGGCCAGTAGGAATTTGAAACATCCCTGTGAAAAGATGCAAGTGGAGCATAAAGGGGTTTTGAAGTAGGATGAGGAAAATTCAGAATGAAGATTGTAGAAGAAGACACTTTGTGGGAGAAATTGCTAGAAAAGAATTTTCTCTCACCAATTCAGAGGGCATCCCGGTGGCATAGAGGTTATGCATTGAGCTGGGAACCTCCTCAAGGTCCATCAATTCTAAAGGACCAGCGGCTCTGCAGGAGAAAGACAGGCTTTCTACCCCTGTACACAGTGAGCTCAGAACCCCACAGGGGCCGTTCTACCCTGTCCTGTAGGGTGGCTCTGAGGCGGCATCGACCCGATGGCAGTGAATGTTGTTTTCCTTTGCCTTTAATTCAGAAAACTATTATTTAGACTGAAGTCACCCCCACGGAGCCAATGTCTTGGCTCGGAGAACCTGGTGGGACTCAGCTGTGCGCGGCCGAGAGGAAGTTTACCAAGGTGCAAGGTGGAAGCCGAAGAGCTTCACAGAGGGAGTGGGCCCCGATCTCCCCCTCTGAGAAACCGTGAGAAAACGTCTCTGCGTTTTGACCACAGGCTGGGAGAATGTGCTGCAGGTATCCATACCCTGTAACAAAGTGCCGCGCCTCTAGCTCCATTCAGGAGCCACCAGACACCCTCACCCTCCCCCCGCCCCTGCCCCCCTCCTATTCAAAGCTGGTAATGACATCACCCCCAAACACAAAGACAATGCTTTTTTTGTTTTGTTTTGTTTAAATAAATCCATTCAAGGGCTGCCCTTTATTTATTTTTAAAAATCATTTTATTGGGGGCACATACAACATTTATCACAATCCATCCATCCATCCATTCTGTCAGGCTCATTTGTACATTTATTTCCCTCGTCATTCTCAAAACACTTGCTTTCTACTGGAGCCCTTGGAATCGGCTCCTCATTGTTTCCCCTCCCTCCCTGCCTTTTAAACTGCACTTGGGAACTCAGCTGGGAGACAAGCTGCTTATAGTAGTGAGTCTGTGTTCAGACTCTGCTATTCCTCCCCCTATTCTTCTCTATCGCACAGAGGTTTCCTATTGGGGAAGTAGAGCCACAGAGGATTTGTGAAGCCTTGGTGGCACAATGGTTAAAGTGCTACGTGGCCAAGCAAAAGGTCAATGGTGTACTTCCATCGGTCGCCTCACGGGAGAAAGATGTGGCAGTCTTTGTAGTCATGGAAAGCCAGTGGGGTGACTGTACCCTGTTCTGTAGTGTGGCTCACCGCTGGAATCCACTCCATGATGGGCGGTGGTTTGGTTGGTTTGGGTTTGGGTTCTTGGTCTATGCAAATCCACAAGATCACTTCATGGCAGCTCTAAGAATGACTCTGTTAGGCCTTCTCCGTATATTTAATCAGGGAGCTCTGGGCCCACTGGAGACTCGTTTGGCTTAGCTCACCTAGCAAGCTATCAATTAAGCAACCACCGCTCCCAAAGACTTTGGGTCTGCGTTCCTGCTGCCGCAGACCCCGAGTGCCCAATTGCTAAACCGCTGTTTTGTAACTACGGGGTCTTGAGCTCCGGATATGAGACAGGCTCCTCAGTGCGGCACTACTTGAATATATCGGCTGTTCGAAGCGGCCAGAGTGAGCACCGTGCAGGGTTGATGATGAGCTTTGCTCTTCTTTTCTGTCTAAATGCCACCGAAGTTGGGGTCACCTTTTACCCACCAGCTCACCGTGGCACTCCATTAGGACATAATAAATAGAGGTCACTGTGTTGTCTTTTTAATTCTCTCAGTGCTTCTTTCTTACGTGGAAGTGGAAACTTTTCCTCAATTTCTTTTTAACCTTGAGACCAATCCTTCCCATAAAATGTTTCCTCTCCATTTTAAAGCTAAGCACTACAATTGGAGGGCAGGCATTTTGTCTGTAAGCTAGTTACGGTACCCAAATAGCCTATCAGTCTTAAAGGCAAGTCATAAGCAATTGGGTTTCTGTCATCTTGTAAATGAAGGCCATTTATCCTCATATTTTCATCTCTGAAGATGAACTTAATTAAGAAAAATTTATATGCTTCGTGTTTTACTTTCTATCTCCGCTGCCTCCTCTATTTCCTCTCTCCCTCGTCCCCCTCCTCCCTCCCCTCCCCAACCCATCCCACCCCACCCCGCCCCACTCCACCCCCCCCCCCAGCCCTTTTCCCTTTGGTGTGTGGCCACAGACAGAAATTTATGGCAGGGGCCAACCTCTTTACACTCCACACAAAGCTTGCTGACTTGAGAGAGTTTGTCCGCTCGCTCCCAGAAAAAACACCTGCAGCACGCTCCCCAGGCCACCTGGAGAGATGGGAGATTAATGTGGCTGTAATAGGCGGGCAGTGTTTGGGTTATTACACCCTCTCCCCAGGTAGATGGGTCTTTTCCGAGATGATACCAATTATTTATTGCTGAAACATCTGTTGATAACTGCAGCTGCCCTTGTGAAACAAAGCATATCGTGGGGTCACGGGCTACGAGGACTTAAAATCCTACCTCATGCTAGTTTGAGACTATTCAGCAACACCCCCCCAGTGCATGGGTTACCATCGTCTCTAATGTCTCATCCTGCCATAGAAAATACTTTGTAAACACTGCCCTGCCCTGCCCCGTGTGCTTTGAAGTATTATTTCATCTTCATCGGTAATTTATATTCCAATGCCATTGTACTGTGGGAAAAAGAGGGGGGACCTTTTTTTGTTTTCCATCTAAT